AGACATACTTTCGGAAAGAGATTGATAGTCCTATAATTATCTGGATATACGATGATAGAATTAAACATTCTAAAAAAGATGCCTTTCTAGGAGTAATACAAGAAAACATATGCTATATGTTTAATTTACACACTATGCTGTTAATATCAATGATCAACATCTAGATAGATCCTTAACTCTAAAACACAAATTAGACAGTAAAATTAACACAAAAAAGTGTTGTTTACAACATTATTTATCGAACCGCATATGCCTACAATGTAGTTTTTAAGCCACATGCAGACCTAGTCCATTTAGATCCACTTTTTTTTCATATAGGACAGACAATTCAGCCTGAAGAACACCTTCATTTAACATTCTTCTAGATTTTGAAGAAAGCTTTACAAGATAAAGATATTCAAAACTAACCTACTTAGAAAATAATAATATATTATCCATTCAACCAAGACGATCTTTAGATACAAGTAGATCTATTCTTCTCAAACTAACCCTAAGTATAAAAGAATATAGTAATAATCAATTACTTGTAACTGGCTATTATTTTTCTCCAGAACGAAGATGTAATATCTTACTAAACACAGGATCTCATAAATCGTATATAGATCAAAATCTAATACCACTAAATTTACAAATACTAAAAGCTACTTCATATATCTATCACGATTATCTAGGACAAAAACACCTATATACTCACGAAGCTAACATACTTTTTGGATTATAAAGCTAAAATACTTTTTGGGTTTTGGGATTTAAATAGTCATCACATCGATTTCCAACATTTATTCTTAATAGATGATAAGATTCAAATTGTATATTGGTAGACATGTACTTCCTCCAACAACATACTATAACATTTACACATCAAAACATAAACATAGATAATTATACACAACCACACAATACGGTCATAGCTATATTACCATAGAATTATATATCCCTACCTACAAACTTATTCTGATACATGCTTTAAGTGATATTGGTAGCGATATAACTGCATGCAAAAAATTAATAATCCCTCTACAAATACCAACCTACTCCAAACAATTATTGCTAAAAACATTTAATGGTCTCCGAACAATAAATTGATATTGGATCAACTAATTGTTCGTCATTCAATCTGTTTTACTAAAAATACACAAATTATGGCGTCTATTCGACGACAACGGTCCTGACTTAATCTTAGACAATAATTTCTGTAGAATATTGTCTTCTTTTACACAAACTGAAAATGAAATCATATTGGTCACCCCCAACTGTAATTCACTTCATTTTCCTATAATTAAAACACCACAATTTCATTCCACTACACCTATTTTTCGCAGCCAGCGTGATGATTATCCCATTGACCAAAACATGGAAACGACTTTAAAATCATCTATTTAATAATCATTTAGGAATAAATGCTATAACCTCCCCTGAAAATTCTAAACTTACTGACCTTCGTTCTTTTGCAAGTTCGTTATTTAAGCCATCATTTTCTGAGAATCCTTTACAATTATGGAAATAAGACAAACTGTTGGCCATAATTGAACCAATTAACCCTAACACTTATTATAAGAGTTAGGCCATTGAAGTATACTTCTGAAGATTAAAAAAAATTTTCAAGTCCAAATACAAGAATTATTACATCTAAAATTAATGGAATCAAGAAATAGTCCACATAGTAGCCCAGCCTTCCTAGTAAGAAATTATGCAAACAAATTAGAGGAAAAACAATATTAGTAATTAATTACAAGAAACTTAATTACAACACTATACATGCTTTATGCGATACAGGTAGCGATATAACTGTATGCAAAAAATTAAAAATCCATCCACATATACCAACTCACTCAGAACAATTATTACTTGAAACATATAATGGTCTCCGAACAATAAATCAATAATGGATCAACCAATTCATTGTCATTCAATTTGTTTTACTAAAAATACACAAATTTTGGTGCCTATCCAATGGCAACGGTACTGACTTAATCTTAGGCATAATTTCTTTAAAACATTTTTTTTCATTTACACAAACTGAAAATGAAATCATATTGGTTCAATGGTAATTCGCTCTACTGTTCTACAATTAAAATACTGTAATCTCATTCCATTACACTTACTTTTCACTGCCAACGTGGTGATTACCCCTTTGACCAAAACGTGAAAACTGCTTTTTTTCATTTATTTAGTAATCATTTTGGAAAAAATGCTATGACCTCCATTGAAAATTCTAAACTTACCGAGCTTCATTCCTTTGCAAGTTCGTTATTCAAACCATCATTTTTTTAGAGTACTTTATAATTCTGGAAATAAGACGAACCGCTGACTATAATTGAACCAATTAACCCTACACTTATTATAAGAGTTAGGCCAATGAAGTATACTTCTCAAGATAAAAAAAAATGCAAGCCCAAATATAGGAATTATTACATCTTAAATTAATCAAACCAAGCAATAATTTACATTCTAGCCCAGTCTTCTTAGTAAGAAATTATGCCGAACAAATTAGAGGAACAACAAGATTAGTAATTATTTACAAGAAACTTAATGATAACGCTATACATGCTTTATGCGATACAGGTAGCAATATAACTGTATGCAAAAAATTAATAATTCAACCACAAATACCAAACCACTCCGAGCATTTATTGCTCGAAACATGTAACGATCTCTAAACAATAAATCAATATCGGATCAACCAATTCTTTGTCATTCAATCTGGTTTACTAAAAATACACAAATTATGGTGCCTATCCGACGACAACGGTCTCGACTTAGTCTTAGGGAATAATTTTCTTAAAACATTTTTTTCATCCACACAAACTGAAAATGAAATCATATTAGTGACCCCCAACGGTAATTAGTTCCACTGTCCTATAATTAAAATACCATAATATCATTCCATCACACCCACTTTTCACAGCCAGCGTGGTGATTACCCCCTTGACCAAAACATGAAAACTGCTTTTCCTCATTGCCTAATAATGTTTAATAGCATTTTGCACAATCGGCTGTTAATTTGTTTAACATTGTAATCAAAGATTTGGATGGATAATTGTTAAATATGGATTATTTGATATGTTTAGGCTAATAATGTTGTGCTTGTTATCTATTATTTTCTTTCAGCACTTTAGGATCAGTTTTATGTGTAGTATTTATCCATTCTTTCCTATTTATTGCTAATGTAGTCTTCAATTTTTTCACAAATTTTTAATGCGGCTCCCAGCGATTTTATATTTGATCTTTCCATTTTTCCTTCTATTATAGCATATTGATTTCATTTATTGTTCTTATTTGTGCTTCTTCTCTTATTGTTTACTCAGCTACAAATGCCCAAGTTAATTTCTTATGACTATTTTGTTTGATCATTATTATTATTGGATCAATTTCTTCACCCGTATATATCATGATTTCAGAGTATCATCACTTGCTTCCTACACTTAAACTTTAAGTTCTGTATTGTTGTCCACACTCAAGTTGGTTGTTTGAGACTTTTATGCTATATGACTCCTAAATTTATATAATGAAGCAGACGCAGCTAGCATTTCATAAACTTTATTTAGTTAGACTTAAAGAGTTGAAGATTGCTGAATAAATCAACCTGCCAAATGATAGAGGCTTGTTTGCGAACAAGTATGTTTTTTTTTTTTAATAAAAAAATTTGTTTAGTGTGTTTTTAATGTATATATATATATATATATATTATGTTAAAAATAAATTAACGTGCTCTTAAAAAGACTAAAAATAATTTTGAAATGTTTTAGTGTTAAATAAAATTAATTTATTTTATAACTGACCAAATTTGCTTTGTTTTAAACTAAAATAGAAAAAAACTAAAACAAAAAATACAACAACAACAACAAACCTTTATCCCACTAAGTGGGGTCGGCAACATGAAACCTTTTTCTGCGTACTATATTTTCATTTAATTATAATAGAGTAAGATCATTTTTTATAAAATATCCCAAGTCTCTTTAGGTCTACCTTTGTCTTTCTTAATATAAGTTGAATCTAAAATATCTACTCTCCTAACCGGATCATCTGTTGGTCAACTCATAATGAAAAATTTAAAATAAAATGGATAATAGTGGCTCCAAATGTCCTCTACATTTGTGGTTAGCCCTTGCACCATTACGACCCTTTTTTATGATACAGTTAAAACATGTTTCTAAGTGAACTCTCAAGTTGACTAGCAGTTGTGTCTTCATCTAAATTACATTTTCCTGTGTATTGGATCCAAGATAGTTGATTATCATGCATTATTGAATAATCTATTTCATTGCCATATTCACAAGCTGTACATCATGTACTCGAACTTTTATTTTAGAAGTAACTACTTTGATTTTCATTTGTTTTTACTCTGGAAATAGTTCGCGCCTGTTAAGATTATGTATTATTTAAATAGTATACACTGTAGTATCCCATTTATAGTTTATCTTGTAAGCACATTTCATAATGCTTAAAAATGGAACTTTTGATTTCTCAATGTTTCCCTAGCATTAGACCCTAATTGTGGAGTATATGCTGCTCTAGCTATCTTTGTGTTACAAGGTTAACTTATACAGTCCAGGACTTGTAATTACTCTCGAATGGATCAGGGCAAGTCCGAAAAGATTTGTTGCAGTTATATTTATTTATTTCTATTTGAAATCACTAGACTTTTATGGATGGACAAATAGAGTTGGAGTGATTTATTCTCATTTCATTAGTAGATTTCCAGTACTTATTGCTGATATATTATCGGTCGATGACTCCCGAGTCCACTTGGACTTATCAGTGATGTCATAATCACTCCACATATGCTTGCTAAACATCTTCCCCATTCTTCCCTTAAAATAAAAATAAAAAAAATATCAATTATATATAGAAATGATTACGATGTCATTAGAATTCCATTTTTTCCAGCTCTATTTGTACTTGTGCTCCTGAGTAAAATATTGAATAATTTTGATTAGGGCATCATGAAAACTGAAGTTTCATCCATCTGTTTTCCTTCTTTTTCTTCCTCTTTCCAGAGTCTCATATTGTACATATGAAGATGAACTCATCAGACCGGTTCAAAGTAAACTCACTAGCTGAACTCAGGGTGAACTCGTTGTATGGGTTCTGGGTGAACTCTCTAGTTGGATTCAAGAAAAACTTGCCAGACTCCGTCAACTCATCGTACCAACCGAGCTCAAGTATAATCATCAAAGCCTGTGAGCTATTCGGTGGCCTCCTCAATAGAATAGTGTCTGACATCTTTTTCTGTGCAAGAAGACCATAGATATGGTATTTCAATCAAGCTCATGTCTCTTTTATTTTATAACGAGTAAGCGGTAGATCTTATTTTAATCATGTACTGTAATATGTGGCTTTTCCTATAATGATCCCACCCAATCCAAATCTATAAATAATGGTTTATTTTTCAAGGAAGGGGTTACACAATCTTTATACATTTTTGCCTAAATTCTTATACTCAAGTTTTCTATATTGAATTTATAGAACTCTCTCAATCTGCTATCTTTTTTCCTCTCCCCTCTTTTTGTCTTTGTGCCGGTAAGACTGGTATAATCACAAATAATTCAAGATTCGTCATTGGATAGTTTTCAAGGTTTTGCTCTTCAATAAAACTACCTGAACTGATTAATATTCAGCCACAGCTCTCTTTTAATATTATATTGCATATTATTCTTTTTGACGCAAGGATTAGTGCTTGGTCTCTCTTTAGGACTCATTTAGTTTGGGATGAAAAATATTTCTAAAAAAATGATGTTATAGTTTTCGTTTATTTGATATGTTAGTTAAAAATCATTGGATTGAGATGATTTTGTAAAAGTTGGTCGATCTTAATTTATGTTTTGATAGTGCTGATTTTTTTCAAAATTATAAAGATTAATGCAAATTATTTTTTTTTTTATCTTAAATCCCCTATTAATTGATTCCAGCTCTTATTTGGTTAGGTGATATGAGTTCTTCCTAGCTAGCACCTTGCAGCTGGCGGCCCCCCTGCTTAGCAGTCTACCTATAGCCATCCATTCTTCTAACTCACGGGTTGCCTTAGTCTGGAAAGCTGATGGATGAAGATTTCTGGAGGGCTGATTTTTGAAGTTTCCACCTTCAATATTTAATAATTTTTAAGCCAAATATTAATATAATATTCAGATTTATTTTCATGTTAGAGTTATTTTATTTCCATTTCTTCCCTCTACAACCCGCTATTCAAAAGGCCAATTTTCAGTTTACTCAAATAATGAAGTTTTAGAGCAAAAATTCAAAAGAGTCCGATTATTAAGAAGTGATCAATTGAGTCTTAAGAGTTTAAAATGCTTTAATTTATTCATAGACTATTAATAATTATTCTAAATTGACCATAAATTAAAATTTGTTTAATTTAATGGAACCCTTCATATATTTAAGGGTAAATCGGTCTATTTTATGTTATTCACAAATTAATCTGGCCATGACAATTTGCTGCTCTGGTTCATTGGATTCTTGTGAAAACCAGCCTCGCCCTAAACATTTGGTGCTCTTCCACTCTTGGGGCTTATTTACTCCCGTTTCATCGTCGATGGAGTATGCACAGACTCAATACACCTCTCTTCGCTGCTTTTTGCACGTGTGCATCTTCCTTGATCTTTGCTCCCTACAGAGAAGACAACTTTGTAAGATTTCGGAGAGGAGTAAATTGTTGAAGAAGAAACAGGTAATATCATCTACTCTCCACCCTGTTGCATTCTTTGCAATTAATTAGATTTTAAGGCAAAAGGTGGCAAAGAAACGGAATTTTACTTTTTGTAGTATTTAGGGGCTTTTCGTTCTTAATGGTAATTGATCATATTTAAGCAGACTATAAGTGGGCTTTAGCCTAAATCCATCCAAACAATTTAGATATTAATTTTTATGCTGGATTTGAGCACATTTATTATTATTATTTTTGGATACTCAGGAATTTTTAAGGCCAAGCAAAAAGTCTCTTTGTCCTCAACTAGACCAATGGGTCATGTGACCCACTGTGACCCATTTAAGGTCATAAAGTGCCAAATTAATCCAAATCTAATCAAAGCAAAATGCTAAATTGGATATATATTATCTCAGTTCATAGGAAATATGAAATTCAAGTCTCATGAACTTTTTTAATATGTAAACTAACTCTAATGTATTTAATTATGGACTTATTTAAGCATAAATGCCTAAAATTATAATTTGAGGAATACTTGAATGCATACAAACTATCTCAAAGACTTCCAACCAGCTAAAAACAAACCATGGGATTAACAATTTTGGGTTTTTTATGAATTATCTTGATGTTAATTAGCATGGCTTGGATATGCTAAGCAAGGCTTAACTTAATTGTTTCAATAAAATAGGTTAAATTCTTAGTAAAATTTTTATTAACTTCGTTGAGTTTGTCATGACTTGACATGGCTATATTTGCTATTGGCTTCTCTTTGCTTGAAAGATCTTAGCTACTTATCGTATTATGTTGTTTAAATTATCATGATTAAATTTTAGCTTAGCTTATTAATGTAAGGAAAGACTTAGTTATATTAAGCTAGGCTAACCTTTTCTTTGTCCAGCTTTACTTTTTTTTTATGTGACAATTCCTTAAAAATGGCTTTATTATATATGCTTGATTCAGTTAACTTGGCAAGGTTTAGAGCATTAGTGTTTGTGATTTATTTCAGTGTACAATCAAAGTGATAGTCTATTAAGAGAGGAGACAGTCGATCGATGTCGAGCACAAGTATGAGCTATTTTAGCATTATTTTTTAATTCAATTTACAAATATTGTATGTTTGATACTATTGTTTGTTATAGGGAATATATTGAAATTGTTGGGAGTGTACGAAATTCTATCTAAATGACTTGATGATACAAACTTTTGGTAACCCTTTGGAGATTTGATTGTAATGAATAGTGCTAAACAAGAAAATATTCATGATAAAGATAAAGATGCAAAAGTATATTAGAGAAATTTTTCTTTTGATCATGATGAGGACGGAGAGAATAATTGTTAGATGATTGTAAAGAATTTATAGACATTGTTTATGATATTCATGATCTTGATAAGTTATTTGAAAGCAATATTGATCCTTCTATTGAATTCACAAGTTTAATAGATAAAATTAAGAAGATTGGAGCATTCAAATTTCTAATAAAATACTTGAATGAAAATGTTATTATACTGACTATATGAATTCCAATGATAAAGTCAGTGTTTATAATAATGATGAAGATGATATCACATTAAGTGGCTAGTTTAAAAAAAATGATCTTGAAGTGGGAATGCTATGTTAAGGATGAATTTAAAAAAATCGTACAAAATTGATCAATTTCTAAGAGAAAGAGCATTAAGTTTTTAAAAATGATAAATGAAGATGCAAAGTTATTTGTAGGTAGTCTAATTGTTTATTTCATTCGTACATTTCAAAACTTGAGGAAAGTCATTAATAGCAGATAAGATCGCTTCAAGAGCATACTTGTTTATGGAGTTATCATTGCAAAATTTTAACCTCCATAATTATGGAAAAAAAAATGTTAAATAAAGTATGGATGAATCAACAATGCAACACTAAATTATTTAGAAGAGAATTAATTAATAAAATGTTTTAGTCACAAGCTATGAAGGCTATCAATAAGACATGTAAGTTGGTGCACTTGAAAGAGGATGAATAGTTCAAGAAAATATGGGATTATTACTTGAAAATTATCAAAATAAATCAAGTAATAGTTATTCTGTAAAGAAAGAATAAGACACGAATTTGGAGGTCGATTAAGAATTGTGAGCCTTTGAATCCTATTAGTTTGCAGGCCATTAATTGGAGTTGATGGTTATTTTTTAAAGAAACCACAAGGGGCTACTTATTAGTTGTCATTAATTTTATTGATAATAATAATATATTTCCAATAACATGGGTTATTGTTGAAAGTGAAATAAAAAATGGTTGAATGATTTATGGAATTGTTGGTTAGAAATGTACACATTTGTTTGAAGTAGTACCAGTTTACATTATTCTAGATAAACAAAAGGAATTGATGTCTATTTTTTAGCATCTTCTACGTGATGCTACAGAAAGATTTTTCATGCGATATTTGCATGGAAATTTTCAAAATCGGTAAGATTTAAAGGAGTTGATTTGAAGATTTTTTTGTGTAACAGGGAAGAGTACTACAATAAATCAATTTGCATACAATATTAAAGACTTGGCTAAATTGATTCGTAATGCTTATCAATGGTTGGCTGGAAAAACAACTCAGAGAGTGGTCTCGATCACAATTTAGCTGCATCTTCAAATGTAGTACATTACTAAATAATATGTGAATGTTTCAACTCTATATTTTTAAGGCAAGAGAGTTGCCTTTTAAAATTATGTTTTAGAATATTAGAATTGGTGATGATGAGAATGCAAAAAAATTGAGAGTATGATGAAGTAGAATGGTAAGTTTTGTCCAAAGATTGGAGAAGCATTTCAAAAATTTATATATGAATTTGAGGATTATATTGGAGTGAAGGATGACGATGACTAATCCCATATCACAATAATATAAGTGGCACACTACATTATCAAATTTAATGATTTCACTTATAGTTGTAGAAGATGGAAACTAATTTATTTGTCTTGTCTTCTCTTCATGTATGCGCTGCAATCAATATGGGTGTGCTTCATCAGGAATAATTTGTCCATAATTACTATTCTATTGATATATACAGAAAAACTTATGAGCTCAACATTAAACTTATCAATGGTCCTGATGGATAACCTAAAAATAATAAAGCAACTCTCTTGCCACTAAAATATAATAAACCTAAGAGGGGTCGATCATCAAAGTTAAGCATAAGAGGTTTTGATGAAAATAAAATAACTCACAAAAAATAAGCTTAAGTAGGTTACAATTGCTTTGCATTTTAACAAACACAGATAATTTGCTCAAACACTCCAAGACCAGTTGTATGCTGATGAATAAAACGACCGATGTACATTGGTAAATATAATGAGTTTATATCTTCAGTTTATCCAAGTAAAAAATAAATACCCTAATCTTTGTGTAATTTTTTTCTTTTATATGCTTAGTTAATGGATATTGATTAACATTGTAGTTTGCAAATATTGTCAATATTGTACGTCTTGACACAAGGACCGATTAATAAAAAAGATTATTAATTATCTATTAAATAAAGTTTTGTAAAGAATTGCACAATTTACTTTTCCTTATACTAATGTGATATTTTACTTGTTAACATATTTACACATCCCAACAAAAGAAGATATGACTAGAAGTTTGAAGGGTTTCATGAGCTATCGAGTATTAGAGTTTTGGAGTTCTACATTGGTAAGTATGATGAATTCATATCTTCGGTTTACACAACATCAACAACAACAAAACCTTAACCCCACTACGTGGGATATCTTCAATTTAGTTAAGCAAAAAATAAATACCCTAATCTTTGTGTAATTTTTTATCTTTTATATGCTTAGTTAATAGATATTGATTAACATTGTGGTTCGCAAATAGTATCAACATTGGCCGATTAATAAAAATGATTATTAATTAGCTATTAAATAAAGTTTTGTAAGGAATTGTGCAATTTACTTTTCCTTATACTAATGTGATTTTTTATTTGTTAACATATTGACACATCCCAATGAAAGAAGATTGACTAGATGAAGTTTGAAGGATTTCATGGGCTATCGAGTATTAGAGTTTTGGAGTTCTTTTGTTTTACTTTCGTTTTAAAAAATTATTTTGAGTATTTGAGAGTTTTATAATTTTGCACTCAATGATAACAACGCTTTTTGTCGAGTAATATGCATTTGATGTTGTGGCATTCAATGATAACAACGTTTTTTGTCGAGTAATATGCATTTGATGTTGTGGCATTTTGAAAACTGTTTTTTTTTTTACATTTAAAGAAATTATGTTGGCTGGTCATTATTGTTGTTATCTATGCAATGCTTTTGCAATGTATTTCTTACCATTATAACTCATGCACGGAAACGAATGGGATTCCCAGGCTTAGAGCGTGAGCTTAGTGTTGAATTATTTTTTAGCAATCCTTAACTGTTAGGATAAAAGCTGAATCATTTGCTAGCTTTATTATCTCTTATGAAGTTCTATTGCATTTAGTCTTCCATTGAACTTGTCCCTAAGCAAGCGTATGACAGTCACTTCTCCAGAATCCATGAAGAATCCATGCAAGTGTTTCTTATTTTCCTGTAAAGAACACAACTACTGAGTAAAGTTCAAGCAAAATTGTACTCAATACATGAAGCTTTCACTAATATATTATTTACAATGGAATTGTAGCATTCTGCAGTGCAAAGATGCTTTTCATAAATCAGGTTATAAACTCCAGGTTATAATGAATGAAGCCAGCCGCACATTTAAGCTCACCATAAATACAAATTGAAGTGAAAGAAATCATATCTAGCTGCAAATTATTGAGAACTTGGCTCGAGACTAATGTTCGATGTAAACCCAACACACTTGCCAGTGCAAAATAGCTTTAGGGGTCGTTTGGGGCAGCTTATAACTACGGGCGTAGCGTTTGTTTCGCGCGTCTTACCTGATTATCCAAAAACGACATTTTCTAATTCTTAAAGACGCGGCCCGCGGGATGTCCCCCATGGGCCGCGTTTCGTTCGCTCCTATTACTCCCCAGCCCTTGATCGCGTGTCCCGTGCCCTCCGAATCTTTCTTACTCTTCGCTCATATCCTCCACGGCGCTCCTCCATCTTCTTCGGCAACTTTCAGGTTCTCCTTCGGCAATTCTTCAAGATTTTCTGCTTTGGCAGTTCCAAACCGACACACTGTTCTTCATCTTCGGCATTCTCTTCCGCATTCTCGTTCCAGTTGAACAACAACTTTCTTGTTGTAGAACTACAAATCGTAGATCGCACTCGTGTTTTTCTGTAGAACCGTAAATCACATTTGTTCTTCGCATATATATATATATGTGTGTGTGTGTGTGTGTGTGTGTGTGTGTTTATTTTGCTGTAAAACTGCAGATTGCATTTGTTTTGGTCCTGTTGAACAGCACTCTAATGTGAGAGTTGTGGAAATATTTTTCTCATAATTGTAAAGAAGGCGTTTTATTGCGGCTGGTAGGATTTTTTTACTCGAATTGGTTATATGGTGCATAAATTTTCTACTTCAAAATCGAAATTTATGGCCATACTGCATATTAAATTGAAAACGACGATTAATTTTTTTAGACTAATTGCTGCAGTGATTGTTATGGTGAAGAGATTTCTGGAGCTTCGGTTACCCATCTGATTCTTGTTTCTAAGTAACATGCAATGGTTATGGCTACGTTGTTCGTGTGCAAAATGGAATTATTCCATGAACCTAACTGTAAATATATTGGGGAAGAAATGACAGTTGAGATTTTGTGATTTGTATTTTTATGAACGGTTGGTGAAGTTGATGAAATATGAGGAGCGTAAAAGATTGCATAAATTTTGGGAAGAAAAGGAATGCCTTGTTGGTAAATTTTAAAAGGGAAATCTACATTGGTCCCACAAATCTAGCATCAACTTTGAAGTCTGGTTTTGCTCTGATTTTGACCTCATTTTGACAGAAATTGCAACTTTGAAGTCTGCTTTTGCTCTGATTTTGACAGGATTCGAGTGGTATGTATACAAGAATTGAGGCATTAGATATACCAATACACAAGAATTGAGTGGTATGTATGTAAATGCTCCGAGTATGTTGTTCTGCATGATTAAAATGCCATCGGTATGACATTTATTAGCCTTGCTACATGCTTGATATAAAAAGTCAAGTCTCAAATGGTTTCGAAAATAATATAAATATTTATTTTAGACCATTTGAAGCATTTCCTTATTGAGCTTTTCTCTCTATATATGGTTTATTGCTCGTAAATTTTAACATGTTCATGGGCTGTTTGGTTCAGTGCTATTAAATATTATGTGCCTCATTCACTGCTATTGTTTTGAAAGATATTGACATTTTCAGGATTATGAGAAAATTTTGAGTTGTTTTTATAAGCAGGTGTTTGTCACTTTTGGTAAAAAAAAAAAAATGGTATTACTTTCATGCTAAAAGAGAAACATATATTGTAAATTAACTGGTAAGGTGAGTGGTGGTAATTGTGCAATGATTTCTTTGAATGGCCTCCAACTTTAAGTGTTTTGTATTGCATTTTTCTTATCATTGTTTTGCAATTATCATGTATTCATCCTTTTTGACCTGTAGCATTATTGAATAAAATTATGAGATGTCCACCACTTTTGTGTAACATACGTGTAAAGTTTGAAGTTTAGGTGGTAGATATGAAAACACATAAGAATTGAGTGGTATGTATGATAATCTTCCATGGTAATAACGTCGGCTGAATAATGCTCCAGGCGATAACTAAAGTTAGAAGTTTCTGTGAGCAAAAAAATATGCAAGCAGTGCGCTTGTATGTCAATTAGACTTTTATTGGTAACAATGGTGATGGTAAGGCTTTGCATACCACGATGCTTCATCTTTGTAGCCCATTCATTTCATCTTTGTAGCCCATTCATGAAGAAAAAATGAGTTAATTCTTCTTGGACATATTGGGGATTTCTATTGAGGATATCTCTTTGGTCCAATGCTGCATAATTTATTTTAGCTCCTTCCCCCTCGATGCAAAAGCATTTTTCATATTTAGGAAATCGTTATCAATTTCTTTTTTACCGCTTTTAATGACAGTTTTTTATTTAGCTTTCAATAACTTCATACAATGATATTAGTTGATTGTTTGGGTTGTTATTCAATGCTGGAGATATCGCCATGTACACTTCTTCTTTAATACCCTCTTGGAAGACAATTATGTTATGGTGATTCACGGATTTGCCCTTTTCATGTGCCATGGCGATGAATCAGCTTGGATGGCTCATGACTTCAAGGGCAACTGCTGCTTTAAAGATGAGCATCAACTAGTCTATACTTTATATGCAATGCTATCTTCCATTTCCATTAGTTCATGTTTAGTTGGATGCCTCCTTCATTCGACCACAACAACCTTTTTTGGAGGAAATTTAAAATGAGATGCTCTCCTGGCTTCAAGGATCCACTAATTCATTATTCATACTTGATTTGTGTGATTAAACAAGGTGTTATGCACCTTACTTTTTTGAAATTCCCAATTGCAGTGCACTGCTACTGCAACTGCTTGCAAATAATATATTTCTTACATTATTCATCTTTGTGACATGCCACTTTTACATTTTAAAATGAATATTATCATAATTTTAGTTTTAATTTTATCATGTTTTTTGTTTTTTCATAGGATTCTAGATATTCACTCTTGAGTGAGAAGTGTATCTTTTTTTTCTTTCAACCGTTATGTAGTGTTTTTTGGATTTTAGGATGTTCAATGTGTTCCCATTATATTATTTTTGCAAAAAATACCACTACGCAGGGCCAAAATGGTCATTTATTTACAAACGGCTGCAAATCAGCTGTTTTCGAACTGCACAAACCAAATAGCTTAACAACTTATTCAGTTCAGGAGCAGAATTATTATTTATCCACAAACAACTGCCCATCAGCTGTTTTCCAAACGCTCGATTCTAACAACAAGCCAGCTTATCTGTATAAGCTAGACAAGCTGCAGCTACCCCAAACATACCCTTAAATGTTTTGCCGGTGTTCTTGCAAAGTCTCATATATAATTCCCGAAGTATTGGTAGGTAAAGCTGGAGATGCCTCAGATCATTCTACTGCAAGATCTTTATTTTTTTCCTTAGCTGGAGTCTGCAAGTCGCATTTGTTTTGCATTCTATGTTGTTTACATTTTAACTTGTAATGAAAATATATTTGATACATTTATAGTTTTATTATTTTTAAAAACAGCTAGCATATTATTTAAAATAATTTGCTGATGGCTTATATGGATGTATTGATTCCCTATTAAGTTTTTAACTCTTTGATGTATTTATAATTTAGTTTTGAAATACTTTTATGTTATGATAAAATTGTTTTAGTTTAAATCAATATCTTATGATTATTTTTCCATTTTCATATAATGCTATTTCATAATTATTTTGTTGAGATTGATGCGGGATTAAAATTATTTGATAGAAAATTGATTATATATTGAAATTTGGTGATTGAACTAAAGAAATAATAACTATTCGTCTTTTTTATCAACAATCTTATTCCAATATTAAAAATCATAACGAATATCAAAACGTCTTTTTTATTCATGTTATATCGGTCTCATATAACCTTCTAAAACGTCTTTTTTATTCATGTAAGATCCATTCTACTCAATTTTTAATAGTCTGAGACTAAATTGGAGCATTGTATAACTATGATAATAAATTAATCACTTGTTAATAATCGGGGGAATATTTTGAGCTTTTGCTCCAATGTTTTGTTTCTTCTCTCTATCGAGAAATTTTATTTATTTTAAAAATGGGCTTCTAAATTTAAGCGACCAATGCACTTGCCACAACATCAACCTTCCATGTAGGTGGTGTCCCACACATTTCTCCGTCAACAAAATTATAATTCAATGCCAGCAGTGATATGATATCTACTTGGAGGGGGACCTCAAGCTATATTGATCATTGTTATATATATATATATATCATTATGTTGAAAGTTTGAGATCTATAGTTATTTGCATGCACAATGGAATCTTTCGTTCCATGGCTGCCATAATTACTCAAAAGAATATTTAACCTCCTATAGTTACTTTGATGGAGATGCACCCTGGGAATTGGTAAATTATGGCAAAGTATTTGTCGGTAGGATGGAAAGCAGCGCTTCCTGCTCCATTGATTGATCGCACCATCACTTTCCTTTTTTTCGCACAAATCATGATTGGAAATATATTCTCCATTAGCAAACATCTTTTACCAAGCTGGATGCCCTAATTTTGGAGAAATTATGGCGTCGGATACCTGTAAATTTATATCTGGAGTCTAATAACAGGGGCTACGTGGCAATTTGGGCCCAGTGACATATATGGCTCGGGTCCGGGTTGTCACGTGACACCATATTATTGGACACTTGATGCAAATTTGCATCAGATGTCTTGATATAATAGTTTTTCCAAAGTTTGAAGGCTTAGATGATGGCTTTCTTCTTCATTATGTTATTATTTGTCTCAGCCACAACGAACATTTCCATCAGGAGTTTTAAAATCAGATTTTGGCTGCTATGATGCCATTTTACTCTTCTTATAATTATTTTTGTGAGAAGTTTGTGGAGTTGGGTAAGATATTAGCACTAGTGCGCTGAAGAAATGTATTTAGTTTTCAATTTTCTCAATTCTATTTTAATTTTTATTTAAACAAACAAATAAAAAAAAACTAAAATTTTATCATATTTTAATTTCATATTAAAAAAATTAAAAAAATTAAAAAAATTAAAAAAATTATCATATATAATATTTTATCGGAATAAATGAAGGAGTCATGAAATCAAATCAATATCATGTGAATAAATATGTGATTCGTTATGCTTGTTCCTAGTCATATTTCAATGAACAATTAAATTTTGTTTTTTTTCATAGCTGAACCTTTTAAATCAAACTAAATTTTGGTTTGGTCAGTACTATTTATCAAAATTTAGATTGGTTAGGTTTTTTGTATTATATATTACAATTATAATCAGTTTGACCAATTTCAAAATCCGATCCATTTGAACTGATCGAATCTTCACCTTATCTGATGCCAGAGAGTAAACCGCCACAGCTTAAGCTCGAACGTCTCTTCGCATTCAGATCAACTTAGCGAGGAGAGATGACTTGCATTGAGTTTTGATGCCATTGTATTCGACTTAACAGACAAAAAGAAGAAACAAAAGGAATGTTTTACATGTAAATAGGTAAGTTTATGTGTGATACAAGTAAATATGAATATTTTCAATGCCATGTTATGTAAAAATCCCCAAATTTAAAAGAATGTATAAAAAAACTGTTTTTTTGGGAGCATGCTGAACTAAAATAATAAATTAAGGAAGAAAACAAAAAGTTTAAGAACTTTTTATCGGCTGGACAAATCTAATTTGATGTGCAAAGCTTGTGGGAGCTCCACCAGCCCAAAAGCGACATGATATTTAAAATAGTTTAATTTTAAAAAAAATCTTTAAACTGCAAATCCTCAATAAAAATAATGCAAGTATACGTATTACTCAAGTAATAAAGGACTCAAATGGAGTCCTAGATATCAATTACACGGGGAAGTTGGAAATACATGTAGATAAGTTCTTAAGATTTTATTGTAAAGTACAATTTTTAAAACTACACAAAAAGTAAAGTACGAATTTTGAATATTAAGTAACAAGTGAATGCTAATTAAAATGCAGTTGAAAGACAAAGTTAACTAAACTAAATGCTAAACTTTCAAAAATAAACTTACAAAAATTAAACTAAGTTTTTGTTACGGAAAGTTCAAATTTAAGAAAACATCTTTCCCTTTACAATGAGTATATGGATTGTGAAGAGATTAAAATCATTTAAAAAAATATATAAAAAATTTTTTGTGTCAAATAGGATCAATCCTATTCTTTACCCTCTTCCGAGTGCATAAAAAACCTTGACTGATCCAGAGTTTGGTCTCTAATTTCGTGGTTAGGCTGGCTTTGTTGTGCGGGAAATTTACAAACTACCACTCTAGAGCTCCCACTACTTTCTCATTTGAGGGCTAACAATCTCGCATCAGTTTCCAATCAATTGGACCAAATTGAGGATTTTAAT